GCAGTCTTGGCGATAATTTATGATTCCAATTGAGCTCGCAAGCGCGCGTGAAAGAGTTCCAGCAGTCGCGATCCTGCGCGAGGAGGATCGGTCGTGGCATTTCCTGCCTACTGAATAGCATCGCGTCCATAAACCCCGGTCGACTTCAATGACGACAGCGGTCGCAGCCCAATAAAAGTGATAAAAGGAGAAACTGGAGAACACACACTCTTGAGGTGGCAGAACGAAGCGCGAGAGAAAGACACAAAGTGAGAGAAAGAAAAAGAGAAAGAGAGGTAGGAGTGGAGAGAAATGTTTCTGGACAGCTGTCCGCCCGTACAAAGCCTAAGAAGTGCGCTCTGATCGCAGAAGACACAATACGTAGGTAGGTAGACGACTTCTTCTACGTCGAAATCTTTCGAATTTTATTACCTCGCCGGTTAAGAGTGAGTCGATTCTTGAAACACTTTCGTGCCTTTGTAACAACCGAAAGTAAACCAGTTCCCCGACGGTGACTTTGCGTAATTTGCGATGACGACAGAAGTGCAAATGTGGTCGAGGTAATGAGCAATGATAAGCCAGATCACCCGGTGATAAGACAAAATGTCAGATAGCGGGGTGCCAACGCGAAAGTTAGAACGTAATATCAGATTCAATTGTAATAAACGTGAAAGCAAAGCTGGAATTTCATTGAAACATAATCATTAGAAATTTTGGTATTATAATGCAATGTTAATAACATTGAATTTCGATGCTGCGTATTGTTAGTAATTTGAAGTTGTAATAGAGTAAAGCTTTAATACGGTCTAATATCAATAATTCCTAATGTAATTTTAATAATCCGTAATAAATAATTTTAATTTCAACATAGCGAAATAATTTGATAAATTAAGATGATACCTTCGTTATTTGAAAGTTTTGCTTTTCATGCTCTCGTTCGTTCACGCGATTTCGATTATCGCGAGACTTTTTCGTGATTTTACGACACCGACGATGAAATACTCCAGCAAAAACGCAACTTGGCATGCGTAATCTATTTCGACCTTCCCCCGGGGAAAGGCAAAAAACAATTAACCGCCGCGGTTTTTACAACCGCAAGCGGGATATAATAGTGAACGATTTCGACAACCACAGAGAATTATGCGGGATGACCGCAGTGAATCGGCGGCAGATGGCCGATATCGACGTTTCCTCGCGCAACTCGTTGCGCTAGTCGCACAAATTGTAAATTAACGCGACATTAGTTGATCTGCCCCTCACATATTGTGCGTGGTAAGTGGGATAAACAAGTTTCCCAATAAAAGACGTGAACGTTCCGACAAATCTTTTTTTCTTCTACTCTTCTCTCCTATCTCTCTCTCTCTCTCTCTCTCTCTCTCTCTCTCTCTCTCTCT